ACAAAAACATGCCCCGAAAAGGCTCAAATAAAAAATGGTTAAAAAATATTCTTACTTCACCCAAATCAACTCCAGATCAAATTAAAAATGCCTTCAAAACTTATATTTTAAAAACAAACCAATTTTATCAATGTCAATTAAAACGAGAAGAAATTTCAAGTGATGAGTATTTTAATAATACTGAAATTCTTAATGCATTAAAGTCTCGAATAGTTAAAATGGCTAATGAAATTAAGAGATTTAGCAACCGATACAATATTTTAGAAAAGAAAGCCGATTATTTTCAAACGAAGTCAAATTTATTAATAAAAGAAAATAAAGTCCTAAGAAAAGAGGTCAAAGCTCTAAGAAAGGAAAATGAAGCAATAAGAGAAGTCATTGCGCATTCAATTAATATAAATAATCATAACATAGATCAATATGAGAATGAAATAAGAAAACTTCGTCAAATTATCGAAGAAATTGTCTTTCTATTTCAAGATAATAGTATTATTGGTAATTAAATCTTTTTTTTAAGTTTTTTTTTCTTTACTATTTCTAAAATTAAGCTCTTTAAAGATTTTGAAACAGTAAATAGAATATTATTTTTTAACGGAATCAGATTAATTCAAGTTTCAGCTCCTCGAAAATGCTATAAAAGTTTTGAAGAGGCCTTTGAAGCAACAAATAATTCCGAAAAAATAGTTGAAATTGACGATGAAGGAAACACAATTAAAGAACGTTCATTGCCTCGTACATTTTCGTTTATTGTTAATGAAGAAGATACTGGTGAATGTTCCAACTCAAATCATAGAAATAACGGCGATAAAGGTGATGATAGTGAAGAAAATAGGTTCAATGAGGCTAATGACAGTGAAGAAAATAGTGATGACGAAGAAAATAGTGATGATAAAGTCAAAGAAAGTGATAACCATATGGATGTTTCATGGTAGTATTTCATAGCTTTTAAACGATAGAAGAGAAGAATTTTTTTGATAAAGTTTTTGGTGTAATAAAATAAAAGGAATTGAGAATGAAATGTATCAAGTCACATTGTTTTATGTTATAATAAAAACAATAATAAATATAGAGGTTGTAGTACATATGGGCTAGGTGCTGAGAAAAGGGACCAAATTGACGATTTTTTCAAAAGTAATTTTTTTATATAAATCAATTTAAAATATAATTAGAATCACTTTTTACTTAAAACACAAAGGTAACTGCATTAATAAAATTTTGCAGTACAGCTCTTTAAAGTTTCCATTTTCTTATGATTTATTATAAGATTTATAATATAAAAATTGATTTTACAAAGATCTTTTTTTTGTCAATTTGGTCCCTTTTCTTAGCACCTAGCCCATATCATTACTAAGTAGAAATTTATTAATTTTGGCCACTGAGTCAAATTACATGAATGTTGAGTCTATAGCTTCAAATGTACATATTTGGTTTTCAGATGTATTATCATCATCTTATTATTATAAAACTGATTAATAAATATTAGTCAAAAGGTCAGTTAACATATCTAATAGAGACGTTAACGATTTAACTTGATTATATATTTATTATTTTATTATACTGTAAAAAAACTGTGAATAGATTGCACGAAGAAATATTTCTATGTAGTAATTCATTAGATCAATACGCTCGGTATATACTGTATTGATATTGCATAAGAAATTTCAAATATTTTATTTATGCGAACTTTCGAAAATATATAATTTGTATAAACTTTTCAAATAAAAAACGTTCATTTTTATATTATTTGAGATTAATTAAGTAAAAAATTTCTACTAAGAAATAAAAATTAATACAAATATTTTAAAACTCTTATCAGAATTTAACTTGAGTGACTCAGCACTCATTTTTATCATTTAAGAGCAGTGAAAATATTAATGAATATTAATGTAGAACGGCCGATATGGCAATCCATCCCACATTGATTGAGAACAACAAAATCATATTATGGAGCGGCCAATATAGCAATCCATCTCCATATCAAAACCATTCTGCAAACATATGAATCAGATAGAACGGTCAAAATGACCATTCCATATTTACTTTTTCTCAAAAAAAAAAAAAAAAAATCATTAGTAACCGAATAAAATTATCGTTCAAAAAACAATAAATCAAATTAATTACTTCCCTTTCACAAAATTTTGAATTAAACATTCTTTATAATCAGCCAACCTATGTCTGTTTAGGAATCAAAAAAGTTAGAATGGGAAATACGTCGATAATCATTAACAATTAGATTCTTTTAAATATGAGTGACGAAAAAGTAAAACCTGTAAATCATTTTACTCATTGAGTAAAATGATTTACAGGTTTTCTCTCATATGTAAAAAGTTTTTTTTCAAGTGGTCTAGCCAAGATACTAAATTTAGTAATACATATTTGTAATCGATGCACAGAGTTTTGCAGATAGCACTAACCAGATGTTTGTGTATGAGAACAAACAAGAAATTTCAACAAGACTTGTAACCTAATATTATTCATGGCTAACTACGCGAAATTTATAAAAAAACTTGGTAACGGTAACCAATATTTATAATTATTTTACGATAGAAACATTTAGAAATTTATTTATAGAACGATGAATATTGTTTTATTTACAAAAGATAAAAACAACTAAAATGTGACAACAATAATCAATCATCTCTAATATTTACAAGTTTTTGACAAATAAAGTAGACAATATTTTGTTGGCGTTTTCACTCCGTGTATTAGGTCACAAGTCTTTGACTCCGTTCTTATCAATCTTATCAAATGTAATATTATTGGTGTTTGTAATGGCTAAAGTTGGGCATTCTCATACACAAACAACTCCGTGCATTAGGTTACAAGTCTTTGACTTTGTGATTTTAATCAATCAAGTTAGTTGGTATTTCCACACACAAACAACTCTGTGCATAAAATAGACAATATTTGGTTGGCGTTTTCACTTCATGCATTAGATCACAAGTTTTTAACTCCATTCTTATCAATCTTATCACCTGTAATATTACTGGTGTTTGTAATGGCTAATGTTGGCATTCTCATATACAAACAACTCCGTGTATTAGGTTACAAGTCTTTGACTTTATCAAGTTAGTTGGTATTCTCACACACAAACAACTCTGTACATTATTTTACAAGTTTTTGACAAATAAAGTAGACAATATTTGGTTGGCGTTTTCACTCCATGCATTAGGTCACAAGTCTTTGACTCCGTTCTTATCAATCTTATCAAATATAATATTATTGGTGTTTGTAAATGGCTAAAGTTAGCATTCTCATACACAAACAACTCCGTGCATTAGGTTAAAAGTCTTTTAACTTTATAATTTTAATCAATCAAGTTAGTTGGTATTCCCACACATTCACTCTGTGCATTAGGTCACAAGTTTTTGACCCCATTCTTATCAATCTTATCAAATGTAATATTATTGGTGTTTGTAATGGCTAAAGTTGGCATTCTCATACACAAACAACTCTGTGCATTAGGTTACAAGTCTTTGACTTTATGATTTTAATCAATCAAGTTAGTTGTTATTCCTACACACAAACAACTCTGTGCATTATGTTACAAGTTTTTGACAAATAAAGTAGACAACATTTGGTTGGCATTTTCACTCCGTGCATTAGGTTACAAGTCTTTGACTCTATTCTTATCAATCTTATCAATGTAATATTATTGGTGTTTGTAATGGCTAAAGTTGGCATTCTTATACACAAACAACTTCGTGCATTAGGTTACCATTTGATAAGATTGATAAGAATAGAGTCAAAGACTTGTGACCTAATGCACGGAGCGAAAACGCCAACCAAATGTTGTCTACTTTATTTGTCAAAAACTTGTAACATAATGCACAGAGTTGTTTGTGTGTGGGAATAACAACTAACTTGATTGATTAAAATCATAAAGTCAAAGACTTGTAACCTATTGCACGGAGTTGTTTGTGTCAACTTTAGCCATTTACAAACAACAATAATATTACATTGATAAGATTGATAAGAATAATACGAGTCAAAGACTTGTGACCTAATGCACGGAGTGAAAACGCCAACCAAATATTGTCTACTTTATTTGTCAAAAGCTTGTAACCTAGTGCATGGAGTTGTTTGTGTATGAGAATGCCAACTTTAGCCATTACTAACACCAATAATATTACATTTGATAAGATTGATAAGAATAATACGAGTCAAAGACTTGTGACCTATAATGCACGGAGTAAAAACGCCAACCAAATCTTGTTACTTGATTTGTCAAAAACTTGTAACCTAATGCATGATGTGAGAATGCCAACTTTAGCCATTTACAAACACCAATAATATTACATTTGATAATAATAATATGAGTCAAAGACTTGTGACCTAATGCACAGAGCGAAAACACCAACCAAATATTGTCTACTTTATTTGTCAAAAACTTGTAACCTAATGCACGGTGTGAGAATGCCAACTTTAGCCATTTACAAACACCAATAATATTATATTTAATAAGATTGATAAAATAATACGAGTCAAAGACTTGTGACCTAATGCACGGAACGAAACTGCCAACCAAAATATTGTCTACTTCATTTGTCAAAAACTTGTTTGTGTGTGAGAATACCAACTAACTTGATTGTTTAAAATCATAAAGTCAAAGACTTGTAACCTAATGCACGGAGTTGTTTTGTATAAGAATGCCAACTAAACTTTAGCTATTAACAAACACCAAGAATAAGAGTCAAAGACTTGTAACCTAATGCATGGAGTGAAACGTCAACTAAATATTTGTCTACTTTATTTGTCAAAAACTTGTAACATAATGCACAGAGTTGTTTGTAACCTAATGCACGAATTGTTTGTGTGTGAGAATGCATACTGTATACTTTATCTATAATGCACAGAGTTGTTAGGGAACACCAACTATAACGATAATATTGATCATACATGTCAAAGACTTGACTAAATGATGTGTATAATCCTATAACTTATAAATGTTATTTTGTTGATTAAATTTATTATTGTATTTTGTTACTTATTTCATAATTATACATAGAAGATTTAATTATAAAGGTAATTATATTACCTTTTACAAATGACTAATTATTTAGGGGTAATTATTATTATGAAAACTACCTTTTAAAAATGATCATAAATAATTTGGTTTTGGTCATATCATATTAACATATTAAATATTCATAATATTTTTAAATTCATTTATGATAGGTGTAATATTCTTATCGGTAATAATTGACATCGGAAATTTTGCTCGAACAAAGAAATCGTATCTATAATCACCCAACTGTCTTGTTGCAGCAAGCAAATTACTAGCAAATCTCATATTACGACTCTTCTTTCTTTTATTTTTGTAGAAGCCATATGGATTTGTGTCTATTTCCCTAGAAAGCTTGATATTGGATATATTTTTACTATCCTCCATTGTTTTGCATATTCATTGATTATGGCTTCGTCATCATTACCGGGATTTTCCGATATTAAAATATCGATAAGGGATAGTTTAGAACAAATAGGTTCTAAATACATAGAATGCTCCAAATATTCGGAAAGGTCTATTCGATATTTTTTCCATAATTCAGGTTTTGTTGAATTCGGTAAAGAAGGTTTAGTCTTTTTATAAGATGATAGACTTCGAATCCGTTCAACATATTTTTTTTTCCAATCTTCTTTTGATAGAGAAGGTTTTACATCGTCGAATTCGGGGTCGTTCATTATAAAGGTAAGTTAAGATTATAGTAAACGCAATTACTGATCATCTTATATTCAATCTGCATGCGGGCAAAACCTTTTACTAATTTTGGAATTGATCAGAAGAATTCTAATTCGTGGATTCGGGTGCTGCTACACCAAAATTGTCACAGCAGATTCTTGATTTTGATTGGCTAAAAGCGACAATCAAAGATTTAGGCCGAAGTTACACCAAATTTTACTAATAGAAAAAGTTAATTCCGGACAAAAATTAAGTAAACAATTATGTAATGCAGGCCAAAATTTTGTAGATCACAGCTCTTAGCCAATTAAATTCGAAAATCCTCACCAATTTATTAGATATAAAAAATTGATATTATGTTTTGGGAGTCGACAGAAAACTCAAAAGAAAAAACTTACATTTCTTAGCCATATCATTATTTCACAGAATATGATGAATTGTCTATAAAATAAAATGCCATGCAAAGAATTTTTTTTTATTATATTTCATTTTACTTTTACATTATTCGATGTTCTGTTTCGATTAAGAGCAAGATAGAAAGAATCAACATTCGATTTTTAACTTGTTAAAATGATTCAAATATTTGAATTACAAGATTCTTCAGATATAATTTGTTTTAACACAGCACAAACCCCTTATACTTTATATGTCCAAATCCACGACTTCCAACCAGTATTTCAATTAGCAATAAGATATTTTATATTTTGTATTGTAAAAGTTCAGGTTGGTTGCCAAAAGCTCCATATACAATTGGCTCACAAAGCTCGATGTATAAATATGAATGGTTAGATATAAAATTTTATTATAAATCAATACGAGTTTGGAATAAATTTACATCAGAAGAAACACATTTTGCAGAACAGAATTAAACAAACTCCCTATGGGAACTGAAAACATTCAAAAGATTTAAATTTGTAATGAAAGCAATAAATAAAACTTGTTTTAAATAATTTATATCGGGTACAGGAACATCAGAATTTGAGTGTCCGAATCCACGACTTCCAGTCATTATTTCGACAAAAAAGTTAAATATTGTTGTAATTATATTCCGTATAGATTGATAGACACCAAAAGTTCAATGCATAATTGGCTCGAAAGGTTCAATATACGAATATGAAAGGAGAGATCCCAAATTAATATGAATTATAATAAAGTTTCAATATACTTACGCCCAACGCCCAAACAAATAAAACTATTAAAATCTCAATAAGAAGAATTATTAACAGGATTATATTCTGTTTTGTCACAAGTATTGTTTTCACGAAATTTAGTAAGTATTGTTTTTATGGTACTTAGTATTTTTACTAGTGTCTTTAAATATAATCGATCTTGCGTCTTGAAAATGGGTTGAAATAAGATATTTTCTTCCATTTTAATAAACTTGGTTCTTGAATTTTAATAGAAATTTTGAGAAAAAATTATTTCCTTTGATCCTCTTAAATATAAAAAATTGATGTAAGCACATATAAATAATATTTTAAATTGAGTAACAGACAGATCAGCTCAGCATTTTTAAGTTTTGGGCAATAAGAATAAATCGCGGAGAAAATAGCATAAATTTATGAATTAATTATCCCTTATTTGAAAAAGCATATTCACGAAAAATTAATCCTTGAACAAAGCCTTTTGCGATAGCGCGCAAAGAATTAACTTTGCTTATTTTCATTAAATTCTTAGCAGTTGATAAATTTCCATTTACACTACGCCTTTCTTGAAATCTTATTGATTGTTGTTAGCATTTATATACTTTTATGCTAAAAAATTAATATCTAATATGTTTTAACGTGAATACAGTAATTGCGTAACAGATCAGCATTATATATTGTAGATTAATCGTTATCATAAAATGCTGTATATCATACAGAACTGGAGTTTCATTTTAATGTTTTGTAAAATAGGTAATACAAATAACACGCGGAAAAGCTAGCATAAATTATCCTTAATTAAACAAGTTCATTTACGACAAACTGTATTAAAAGGAATATGAAAACATTCCGCTCCTAATCAATTTTAATCAAAATGTTATCAGA